GGTAAAACGTTTGTTATTCAGATTTATCCATCCATCCATCCATCCATCCATCCATCCTTCCTTTCTTTCATCCATCATTTCAATCCCTCCATCCTTTCATCCATGTTTCCATTCATCCACCCATCCATCCACCCACCCATCCATCCTATCCATCCATCCATCCATCCATCCTTTCTTTTACCCATCATTTCAATCCCTCCATCCTTTTATCCTTGTTTCCATGCATCCACCCATCCACTGGGGAAACTCACATGTAAAAAGGGCAGGGATTCTCATTGAAAAAAATAATAAGTTGTACTCCTAAAGAAAGAGTTTAGGTGTGATTCTGGTTTAATTTTACCCCTAAAGGATACCACTTTGAAACACAAGATAAATCTTTTATAATTTTTGAAAAWTTTTTGAGATGTGCTAAAAACCAACAGCTTTGGTCATCATCCCCGCCCTTTGTCATATGTGTGTACCCCTTCCCTGRGTGCATCCATTGATCTGTCTTGTTCAATACCGTTTATTTTAGACATACCAAAGAATAGATTTACAGCATGCAAGAGAAGCACTAACAGCATCAATGATCATTACCAGGTGAGTTCAACCAATCAAAACTGAGCTTACAGCTGAGTTAAASCAATCAACACTGAGCTTACAGCTGAGTTTAACCAWTCAACTCTGAGCTTACAGCTGGGTTTAACCAATCAAAACTGAGCTTACAGTTGAGTTCAACCAATCGACACTAAGCTTACAGCTGGATTCAACCAATCAACACTTAGCTTACAGCTGAGTTTAACCAATCAAAACTGAGCTTACAGCTGAATTCAACCAATCAACACTGAGCTTACAGCTGGGTTTAACMAATCAACATGGAGCTTATACCTTRGTGTATTGATGTAAATAGGTTATTATTATTTGTGTTTCAGAGTTGATGAAGCAATGGCTGAAGAAAGTGACTTAGAAGAGTGCTGTATATGCATGGAAAGGAAACCAGAAGTGATTCTTTCATGTGTGCATTCCTTTTGCAAAAACTGCATAGATACATGGTAAGAAGATTTTTCAAAATAAAATATGATGATATTGATCATTGGCGGTAATTATGAATCATAATGATGATGAGGATGATGATGATGAAAGTAAAGAAAAAAAAGTTGATAGTTTGATGGTGATGACAATGATGGTGAAAATGATGATGATAATTATAAAAGTGACTTCAGATGATATTTGATAGACATGGTTATTAGTTGTTGAATGGTAATCACTGCTTGTGATGATGATGATGACATCATCTGATGGTTGCCATGGCAATAATGGTGATGATAAAACATATAACATTGTTTTTTTTCAGGAGTGTTTCTCACGGCACTTGTCCCATCTGTCGTGACGAAGTAAATAATAAAGACTCATGGGAAATTCCTGATGCTCCTAGCAAAGGAGAAATTGCAAACTATGTCATGGGACTTGCCGAAGGAGCTGGCGAACATACATGACTCAGTAGAAATGATAAATAAGAGTATTTTATTAACACTAAATTTGTAATGAAACATTTTGCAGTCATGGTAACAGTGATTCTGTGCTAATATAATATTAGATAAAATTTCTAATATATATATGGCACCAAAAGAAATACTTAATTGACATGTTTAAATAAATAATAATATGGTTAAAGAGCCCTTTTAGAAATACCTCAAAAAATATTTTAGACTCAGATTAAACTCTAAAACAAGCTCTGGGTTGATCAAGGTTATGGCATGGCTACCTCAAAGATCTAACCTTGAATTAAATTCAGAGATGGATCGAACCTTGAAATAACCTCTTGGCTGATCCAAGTTAAACCAACTCGCAGAAACAACCTTGAAACAACCTTTGATCAAACTTGGAATTTAGCTTACCATGGGGGTTGGGGGGAACTTCTATATAACGAAGGGTGGGGAAGGTTGTATCTTTYGGGGGTTGAAATCTGAACTCCATTTTAGGGGTGAAAAGGAAAAAGCTGCTTGTTTTTAGCACATTTCAAAAAAAAAATTGTTTTAAATAACTTATTTTGGTCTCAAAGTAGTATCTATTAGGGCTAAAATCAAACCAGCTGTTAAATCAAGTTATCTGTTAAATTTATTTTTTTCTAAAATGGAGAACCCAGAGAAAAACAAATGAAAACACCAATAATTGATAACATCTGAGTTTGGAAATCAAACCGAAATCCCAAAAGTAAGAGGTGAGAGCCATCTCACTATGCCATGTGCTCTCTCATTCCCACATAGCATTTGCACAGCTGCTGTGCTAACAGATATAGATAGTTTAGTAAAACATTTAGCTATTTATTCACCAAAATAGTCCTTAGAAAACTTATTAATAATTCATGAAGGAAACACAATAGAAATCATGACCATGAAGGAGGTTTTATATCTGATATAGATTCGTCTTCATTTGCATAAACTTTAACTTGGATTTTCTCTATCAAACTTGGTTCATTTCGTAAAGAATTCGGTACAGTACGAGAACATACATCATGAGTTTTCTAAGCCGTTTAATAAACTTGCAGATCGTGTTTTATCGRCTGCGCCTCGTGTTTTATACCCGATAAAACACTCCTACTCGTTTATTAAACATTACTTAAAATGTACAATATACAAAGCTTAGTTTAACATTTATGTTTTTCCAGTGTTTTTTTATTGTTTAACATAAAAATCTAAAGGAAAAACGTTTAAATTTATTTTGCCTTTGTTATGATTAATTCTACATAACTTTAAATAAAATCGAATCTTTTATTGTTTTTATTCTGTGTTATTCATTTTTGTTGGTTTTGAGGTTTTTTATGGAAGCTTGAGCTTGTTTATTTGCTTATTTTTTATATTATTATTTTCCTTCGCTTGTTTGTTTTTTTTCTTCGTTTGTTCTGCTTGTCTTTTTATATATTTTTGTTTGTTTGCAGTTTACTTTTGTTTTCACCCCCTCCCTCCCCTCCCATTACGTTTCTCTTTGTCGCTCGATACTAGTCCAGCGGTTTTCCCCCTTACCGTTGGGTGGTAAATTTGAAATCTGCAACGAACAAAACAAAAAAAAAAACAACCGAACGGGCAACCGATCTGCCGATCACGAGGTAAAAAACCCCAAAGCTATCTCTTTTTTACTATTTTTTACGTTTATTTTAAAAGATCTTTACTTTTTCATATTGTTGAGCTATTTCTTTCGCTAATCTGAGGCGGATTTTTAGAGCATTTTTTCGCATCGCCTTCCAAGAGACTGCAAAGAATCTTTGAAATGGCGTCCATCGGATACAACAGTCCTTCAAGGACAAGAAACGCCAAGTGTGAGTATATATATTCATCAAAGATAGCGAATACTTTTAGCGTCAAAAGCAATCAAAATACAGCAATAGAATCGTTGATCGTTCACGAGGAATGAGTCTTGAAGATGGGATAAAAACCCTCGAAAAAACGTTCGAAAGATCAAAAACGTATGCATCTCCCGACCAAAACTCATTATGATAAAATCTGCTTCGAAGGCTTCTTTTTAATTCATTTATAAGCAAGTTTTAAGAATTTTTAGCATCATTTTTGTTTGTTAAGAACATTGAATCAATGCGAAAAAATATTTCGATTCGGGCGGTGAAGTGTTCGTTCCAGGTAGATGGATTTCTTGATATCGACGTGTAGATGTTTCCAGAAGTTTACTCAAGGCATCTAGGGGAGGGTAGGGGGTCATTAATTACAATTAGTTATCAATTGACACGGTTTTCTTTGTTATTCATAAGGCTTTATTTTTATTACAACCCTCATAAACAATGGACAAACTTAAAGCCCGGGGAGGGAATTGAAATGCAGCAGGGAAGAGCGGGGCTGATATGAATTAATCTGATTGGCTCATTATGAATCGAAGGTCAATATATAGTTATAAACCCGGTTTATAACTATATATTGACCTTGAATTCATAATGAGCCAATCAGATTAATTCATATCAGCCCCGCTCTTCCCTGCTGCCTGACGAGTAAACTATCTGGGGAATAATACTATTCTACAGAACTAATCTAATTAATGTTTACATTCAAAAAAACTATAGAGATATGTTTTCTAAACATTACATTATCAAATCGTTGCTAGTGCTCATAGTTTATGTGTTAAAGTTTACAACACAGTTTTTAAAATAATAATTCTTACAAACTGGGTTTTGCTTATCCTTTTCACTACATTTCTTCTTGTTTTCCTGCGATGTAGATCAGCATGGGAAACAACGGCAATGTCCCGCTTCGGTTCTTGTATCTCTAACTCATTATTTTTCTCTCCGATGTTGGCTTCTACTTC